AAACCCATTTAGAAATAAAATGAAATAAAACACAAAGCAGACAGAGAAGAAGGAAATGAAAATGGAAAAAAAACACAAAAAAACACACACAAACAGAAAAGCAAATGCAAAACCCATTTAGAAATAAAATGAAATAAAACACCAAGCAGACGGAGAAGAAGGAAATGTAAAACTAATTAAAGGAGAAAATAAAACCCGCCCTAATCTGTCAGCCTCTGCACCCACAACAGCTGCGGGAGACATTTCTGGTCCGCCTGACGTATTTTTAAATGTGTAGGATTGTTAACTCCGATTTTTCCTCCATTTTTTCGTGTTTTTTTTTTTTTTTTTTTTTTTTTTTTTTTTTTTTTTGGGTGGGGGGGAGGAGAAGGGGAGGCTTTTCTTGAGGAGGGAAGGGAAGGGGCGGGGGGGAGGGGGCTTTTCTTGAGGGGGGGGAAGGGGATGGGTAGGGTGTGGGGGGCGAGGAAGGTGGAGGTGGAGGGGGAGGGGGAGGGGGTTGGATGGAGTTTGAGGAGAAAGTTATTTGCTTAAGTTTGAGGTGAAGGTGTGTGATTTTGAGGATTTGAGATTTCAGTTTGTGGGTGGTGGTGGTGGTTGTGTGGTGATTGTGGTGATTGTGGTGGGGATTGTGGTGGTTGTGGCGAATGTGGTGGTGGTGGTTATGGTGGTTGTGGTGGTTGTGGTGATGATCCCACACCACAGATTACTATAATACACCACATCATAACCTTGTAACAACAATCAACATACGTGCCACACAATAACTCACCATAACTATTCCCGTGTCTGTTCTCCGCACCTAATTATACCACGCAATACCACACACGCCGCAGCGCATACCACACCACACGCCACACTGTACAGAACGCAGCACCATACCGACCTACAGTGCCTGTCCGACCCTCGCCATTACCCAGTGTTATTGACTTGATTATAGAGTCATTAGGGATTACTGTATATAAATGAGCCCTGAGAAGAGGCTTAGCGTGGAGCTGGGGGGGTGGGGGGGGATGTGGGTAAGGGGAGGGGTAGGGTAAGGGAGGGGGAAGTGGGGGAAGGGAGGGGGATGTGGGAAGGGAGGGGGAAGGGGGAAGTGAGGAAGTGGGGGAAGGGAGAGGGAAGTGGGGGAGGAAGGGGGAAGTGGAGGGAGGGAGGGGGAAGGGGGAAGGGAGGGGGAAGGGAGGGGGATGTCGGGGAAGGGAGGGGAGAGTGAGGAAGTGGGGGAAGGGAGAGGGAAGTGGGGGGAGGAAGGGGGAAGGGGAGGGTAAGAGGGGAAGTGGGGGAAGGGAGGGGGAAGTGGGGGGGAGGGAGGGGGAAGGGGGAAGTCGGGGAAGGGAGGGGGGAGTGAGGAAGTGGGGGAAGGGAGGGGGATGTGGGTAAGGGGAGGGGTAGGGTAAGAGAGGGGGAAGTGGGGGAAGGGAGGGGGGAAGAGGGTTGGGAAAGAGAGAAGTGGGGTTAGTAGAGGGGAATTGGAGGGGTGGGGGTGGGGTGAAGTGGAAAGGGAATTGGGGTTTGATGGGGAAGTGGGGTTGGGTTAGAGGGTAAGGGTGAAGGGGGAGTGGGGGTAAGGGAGGAAAGGGGGGAGGGAGGGAGGGAGGGGGGCTATGAAGAGGCCAAGGGACATAGGGGGAGGTGGATGGGAGTAGGGTGAAGGGGGGGGGGTTGAGGAGGAGGGGGGGGGGGGGTAAGGGTAAGGGTAAGGTTAATGCAGATCCGTGGATTACGTTGCTGTTATTGTAATACAGCTTCACTCTTTGTTTCTCTATTGTTGATTCAGAGATTTTCATCTCTGTTCGCTTCCTCTTTCGTTTATTTACGGTCTTCTTTTATCTTCTCCTTCTTTTACTCTTCCCTCCCTTCCTCCTCCTCCTCCTCTTCCTCCTCTTCCTCCTCTTCCTCCTCTTCCTCCTCTTCCTCCTCTTCCTCCTCCTTCTCCTCCTCCTCCCCCCCCTCCTCCTCCTCCTCCTCCTCCTCCTCCTCCTCCTCCTCCTCCTCCCCCCCCTCCTCCTCCTCCTCCCCCTCCTCCTCCTCCTCCTCCTCCTCCTCCTCCTCCTCCTCCTCCTTCCCCTCCCCCTTCTCCTCCTCTTCCTCCTCCTCCCCCCTCCTCTTCCTCCTCCTCCTCCTCCCTCTCCCCCTCCTCCTCCTCCTCCTTCTCCTCCTCCTCTTCCTCCTCCTCCTCTTCCCCCTCCCCCTCCTCGTTCTCTTCCTCCTCCTCCCCCCCCCTCCTCCTCCTCCCTCCCCCTCCTCCTCCTCCTCCTCCTCCTCTCCTCCTCCTTCCCCTCCCCCTCCTCCCCCCCTCCCCCTCCCCCTCCCCCTCCTCCTCCCCCTCCCCATCCTCCTCCTCCCCCTCCTCCTCCTTCTCTTCCTCCTCTTCCTCCCCCCCCTCTCTCTCTCTCCCGACACCCCCTCGCCTCCTTTTCCTCTCCTCCCTACATCCTTCCTCCTCCTCCTGGGTTCTCGGAAACGAAAATAGGAATAGAGAGGTGCGGGAGAAGGATTT